GGTCCAGATCCTCTCTCCTGAACGTTCCATTACCACTTCCACTTCCATTGTCCATTGTACCTATTCTCATATAAAGAAAAAAGGTTATCCAATTTTTGTTTAAAGTTAGTCAAATAAGATGTATAATCATGTCCTAAATGATGGCCTATCTCAGTAATTATACAGTTGACTATGTGTAATTTAAACCTAGGATCTAGAACAATGCCTAATCCATATAAGAATGGAATATCTAACTAATATCTATCATATTTTTCTTCCATCTTTGAAACAATTTCACTTAAAATGTTATTATATCTATATTGACCAAAAGTTTTAGAAATTTGAAGTAAAATATATAACATTAAATTAGTAGTTGGATAATAAATACCATTTAATGTATTAGTAGCATCATAAAAAATTTGAAGAAATGAATAAAAAAGTTTACAAACCGCCCAATCATCATAGCTGGCAACTTCCTCTGGATGGTTCTTCCGGTTGACGAAATCTGTAATTTGTTTCGCGGTTGGCAAAGTTTTTTCCAACATCAAGTAGGTGGAGTTCCAACGGATAGGCATGTCTATACATAACTTCAAAGGTCGAACCGGTGGGTCCTCTTGCTTACAATATTTGACGTACTCTTGCCATCTTTTATTGCTACTGCTGACGATAAATCTGATAGCTCTACGCACCCTCTCCATCTTCGAATGTATAGCCTCTAAACATGCTTTAACTATCAAATTGATGATGTGGCAAGCACATCTCTGGTGAAAAAATTTGCCTTCACCATGCAGATCCAATTTCTTTTCAAATAAAGAGATTGTCACGGTGTTAGCAGCAGCATTATCAAGCGTTAGCGCTACAACTCTATCCGTTAATAAATATTCTTGCAAAACTTCAAGAATTGTAAAATAAATAGTTTCAGCACTATGTTTTTCATATAATGGTTTAAAACCTATCAATTTTTGTTGTAAACCCCAATTATGATCTAAGAAATGTACTGTAACAGTTAAAAAATCGGTTTTTGATCTACAAGCCCATATGTCTGATGTAAGTGCAATAGATATATTCCTAAAATTTTGAAATTCGTTTTTAAGTTTATTATTTATTTTGTTATCAAGTTTAGTATATCTCTTCTACTTGTACTTCTACTAACAGTATATGCTGACAAAATGCAGTTAAACATATGATAAAAAAAAGGATTTTCAGATAAACAAATGGGAGATTCCGTAGCAACTATAATCTTGCTATTTCTCTCGTGCAACATGTGCATTATATTGTCATGTTGAGGAGTTGAGGATTGTGGATTAAAATTATTGAGTTTGAATTTGTCTGCATGATCCACTTGAAGATGCATCAGGCAACTGCATTATTTGGAGTGCTTCTTCTCCACGTGTTGTCGCATATCGAAGTCCCCTTCTCACGCCAATAATGGTTCCACAAAAATTACAAATCTCACACGATTTCCCCCTCCCCATTTGTCTTTGGCCGTTTTGATTTGGTGAAGTATCCATACATCGGACACGACCCTCTTTGACGGTCGGGGGGGTTGGGCTATGCCGTGCCTTGATCGTAGCTCGCATGTATTTGGCTACACCTCGTCCTGACCGAATGTGGTTGTGGAATTGCAGCTGCTTCCTCTGGAGGAAATGGTGAAGATATTAAGCCTTCGATTTCTTCGTGGATGGAAGTAAATTAATTTGGGGAAGCCATTATAAATTTATGATAATAAATAAATAATAATGAAAAGAAATAAATAATAATATGAAATTATGATGATATTGAAAAATAGAAAAATTTTGAATAATATGAATAATTATAAAATATAAATATAAATTGAATGAGAAATAATTAAATGAGAAATTGATTGGAGATTTGGAGGAAATGAAAAAAAAAAAAGTTATAATTTATATTATAACTTATAACTATTGGTTGTGATCGTTGCGTTATTTTAAAACTTTTTTTTTTTAATAAATTTTGTCAAATTTATTTTAGCCTGTATTTTATGTTATTTTAAAAATACAGGGGGTTTTAGGTAACTTGAGGGGCTATATTGAAAAAATAAAAAAAAAATTGTCCAGGCCCGGGCTTTGGACGAAGGCCCAGGCCCTCCTCCTTAGGCCTGGTCCCGTTTTGGGACCAGGCCCTCCTCCTTAGGCCTGGTCCCGTTTTGGGACCAGGCCTTCTAGGATCGGTCCTCTCAAGGACAGGTCTTAGGATCGGATTTTGGGGCTGAGCTTTTGGGCCCAGTCCCAAATGCCCACTAAACGGGACCAGGCCTTATAGGATCGGTCCTCTCAAGGACAAGTCTTAAGACCGGATTTTGGGGCTAAGCTTTTGGGCCCAGTCCCAAATGCCCACCTCTATGCTAGACACATAAATGAAGCCGCAATTTGCCTCATATATCATACTCCATATGACACAGCTCTTACGCATTCGGCTCTCGCCTCTTTTCACCTTGCGATATTTTCTTGAGACTTCATTTGGCTCTACCCTACGGTGTTGTGATAATAAAAGCTGTGAGTCGTGGACGTGCAAATGTATCATTCGCCCTCTTAGACTTGTAGTCTAGGTTACACATTCCCAAATTGACTGATAGTCCACTAGGCCGCATAAGTCAAGCCATATGGTCCACCAAGTTTCCACCTCACATAGGTTGCCTTGTGTTCTCCTCAATCTACATTCGGCTCAACCCAAGCTAAATTGATTTCGACTTTACCATGAACTCACATGGGATATGGATGCAAAGCCTAGCCATCTCGCTCAGCTCTATCCAAACTAATAAAGCCGAATGGCCCCACCATCTTTCTATATTGCATAGTATTGCAATCTATTTGACTCTCGGTTCGACAACTTCTCAATCGCGATTGAGGTACCATGATCTTCCTAAAGTTCCAAGGCTTATGAATGATAACGCCTTTTACTGTCCCACTCGACTTGGACAACGGAGGTGTCGCGATCTTCCAATGCATTCTTCCACTTGGATAATGCTCGCCATCCGACCACATGAGCTGATCCATGTGGGCATACAAGGGCCTCACCTCGTAAGAGCCCTTTATGGTCTCCAAATGCTTCACACAGCTCAGCCTACATCATTCAGTCCAGGATGGGTGTAAATCTCAAACGTCTTGATTAAGGTAGTCAAGGAGGCAAGTGACTCCACTCAGTCACTACTCTCCACCCGATCATACGAACCGAGCCAAACGGCCTATGCCCCTGTGGTAGTATCAAGTGCTTTGAGTCAAACCCTCCCCGAGAGGATATTAACACATCTATATTATACCTACGATTAATTGAATCTACTCTCTTAAGCTAAATACCCTTTAACTTAGAGAGTGAGGGACAAATTGCATGGGCGAAAAATCATATTAGGTCTGATGAGGATTAATAACGAAATAAACATATTATGGCCCAATACCTTAGCCCAATTCCGATTGAGCATAGCCCAATTCCGATTGAGCCTATGCTTAAATCCACCTTGTAAACTGATCACTTTATGAGTTGGATTATCCTACAAGTTAAGCTAATTCGGGTTCCAACCCATTAGCCCACAACGGTCCCAAAATATGAGTGAAAATCCTATTTACTTTCCACTTCAGTCAAGATCCAAAATTTTACTTGAATCGGTAACCCTAATATGATAAAGGCAAGTAATTACATTTCCTTCTTAATTCAGACTCCTCAACCAAGTAGGACTCGAAATTTTACTAGGACTCCAACCTCTTTGGTTCACTATATAAACAGATGTCAAACCTCTCATTATGCATTCAGAAATCACCCTTAGCTTTAGCTTCTAAATTCTTGCTCCTAAGAATCACCGTCTTTCCTTGTTGTGAAATTTAGTTCTGACTAACTTCACCACCCTCAACAACCACAAAGTTGCGCTCTGACCACTTTGTGTTAGTCTAGCCCTAGCCACATCATTACGGTAAACTCTTCCCACTCTCCACCCTTACTAAATACCTTCAACTATGTTGACTTAAGTGTCAGAGTGCCTACAGCAGACACCACACTGATGTCACTTGAGCCTACACACTCATTTTCTCTCTTTGTGAAGGTCTATTTGATTTTCAGTGGCTTGCTTCTCACAAAATCCGTCCCTTCTGAATCAACAGTAGATTTTACCATCCACACCTTTAATTGGAAGATATCAGTCCAAACAAAAATAATTTAATTTTGTGATCGTTTATATATTTATTTTCACTTTCATCTATTAACTGACACCATATAACAAACAATATTTCAATATTCATATTTATAAAATAAAAATATCATAAATAAGATAATAATTTCATATTTGGATTCTATGACTCTGTCCTTTTGCTTTATCACCCCTTTTATTAATGTTATGAAGTGAATGATATTGATATTATTCAAAAGACAGAATTTTGGATATTATTCAAAAGACAGAATTTTGGATATTATTTCCAATGCAAATCCTCTGATTAAAATCCTGTGACAGCCCAGAACAATTAACTGTATGCAACATACGAATTAAGTTAGAGAATTTTCAGGAATTTTTCATGCTAAAAATAGCTTAAGAATTTTACAACCAATCAAACAAACACCAAACCACGAATCCCAATCTCCTTCATCGATTTCCAGCGAGCTCCTTCTAACAAACTGTTAGGACCAACCCCAAAAATGGAAACCAAATACAAAGGAGAAAACAAAGAATAATGCAATTTGCAAAAAGAAAAATAAAAACTTTACCTTTTCTTGCCTGGTTTTTACCTGTAATCCAGGCAAAGTCGGTTAAATGTTGAGTTACTATGGTTTGATTTTTGATGGTTTAGGGTAAACACGTACGAGCAGCAAAAGAATAGAAAAGGAAAAATAAAAAAAAAGAAAAAAAAGAAAAGAAAACCAGGTAACAAAAATCATAGTTTTCTGGCGTACAGGAGGACTTTCTGATTTCTTTTCTCTTTCTCTTTTCCTGAAGAAGCCTGTTTTTGTGTTTTCCTGTACGCCGATAGCGTGCCCATTTTCTTCAGTTTTTTCTTTTTTTTCTTTTTTAATGAGCCATGTTCACCAATACCCTTTTTGTATCCTATCTTGTTTGTTTAATTGTTGTTTTCTTCAATCCCATTGATGTTGTTTTGAGTGGTGATGAATCAATTCTTTTGAGCTGTGGCTCAAAAGATGGTGGCACGGATTCGGACGGGCGAAAATGGGAATCAGATGCGAAATATACTTCTAGTGAATCTAAAATGACCAAAGCTACAAACCAGGATTCTTCATTACCTTCTACAATTCCATACATGACTGCCAGAGTTTTTACAAAAGAAGGGACCTATAATTTATCCGTTAAAAAATACCAGCGGTATTGGCTTAGATTTTATTTCTATCCTGCAACTTATCCGGACCTGAATATCACCAACTCTTATTTCTCTTTGGATGCAAATGGTATTACCCTTTTGAATAATTTTAGTGCTTCAATCACTGCTCAAGCCGCCGGACAAGCTTTCTTTTTTGAGGAGTATTCTCTGGCTCCAATGGATTCTGATAATCTGGAACTCACATTTAAGCCTTCGGATAAGTATCCTGGAAGTTTCGCTTTTATCAATGGTATAGAGTTTGTTCCGATTCCGGATTTGTTTGATAAAGCTCCGTTGGTTGGATTCAGTGACCAAACTATGGAGATGCAGAGTTCGAATATGCAGACGATGTTTAGATTGAATGTTGCCGGTCAGTATATTCCTCCAAAGGCTGACTCTGATGGTCTAATGAGGACTTGGTATAATGATCAGACTTATATATGGGGAGCTGGAATTGGGGCCAATATAGAGGCTGACGATAATACTACAATTAACTACAAAGATTTGCCATCCTATGTAGCGCCTCCTGATGTTTACATGACTGCAAGATCAATGGGACCTGACGCTCATGTTAATTTGGATTACAATCTCACTTGGATTTTCGACATTGATGGCAATTTCACATACCTTGTGAGGTTACATTTCTGTGAGTTCGTAATGGATAGTGTTAATCAGAGAGTGTTCAATATTTACATCAACAATCAATCTGCCCAGGTATATCCAGATGCAGCTGATGTAATTGCCTGGACAAAAGAGAAAAATGTACCGACATACAGAGATTACGTGATAGTTATTGATGATAAGCCGGGTGATAAAGAGCTTCGAGTAGCAATGTCACCATCACCTGAATCAAAGCCTCAATATTATGATTCAATTCTTAATGGATTAGAGGTATTCAAGATAGAAGGTGGGAAGAACTTGGCAGGTCCTAATCCTAAGATTGAAGCACCGCCACCCAATGCTGGAAGTAACTCAAAGTCTTCTCAGAATAAAGATCATAAAACTAACATGAATGTGATTGGAGGAGCTGCTGGAGGGGCTGCTGCATTTGGCCTATTGGCTGCATTGTGCATTGTTGTTTACCAAAGGAAGAAGAGAGTCCCTGGCTCGGAGTCACATACTTCAAGCTGGCTGCCTATTTATGGGCACTCTCATACAGGAAGCAAATCAACAATATCCGGAAAGAGTAATGCTAGTAGTCACATTTCAGCGATGGCTCAGGGTCTTTGCCGCCGCTTCTCTCTCCCAGAGATTAAACACGCCACCAAGAATTTTGATGATTCTTATGTCATTGGTGTTGGAGGTTTCGGAAAGGTGTATAAAGGTGTTCTTGACGATAAAATAAAAGTGGCTATTAAGAGATCAAACCCATCTTCAGAACAAGGAGTTAATGAGTTTTGCACTGAAATTGAGATGCTTTCAAAGCTAAGACACAAGCATTTGGTATCTCTGATTGGATTCTGTGAGGAGGATAATGAGATGTGTTTGGTTTATGACTACATGGCACTTGGAACTCTGAGGGAACATCTCTATAACACGAAAAAGCCGACTCTTTCATGGAAGCAAAGGTTGGAGATTTGCATTGGAGCAGCCAGAGGTCTTCACTACCTCCACACAGGAGCAAAATACACCATCATTCACAGAGATGTCAAGACAACAAATATTCTTTTGGATGAGAATTGGGTTGCCAAGGTTTCAGATTTTGGCCTGTCGAAAACTGGTCCTAACATGGAAAATGGCCATGTTAGTACAGTAGTAAAGGGCAGTTTTGGTTACTTGGATCCTGAATATTTCCGGAGACAACAATTGACAGAAAAATCTGATATCTACTCTTTCGGAGTAGTCCTTTTCGAGGTATTGTGTGCAAGGCCTGCTCTTAATCCTAGCCTTCCGAAAGAACAAGTCAGTCTGGCAGATTGGGCTCTACATTGTAAAAAAAAGGGGGTCCTGGAGGACATCATTGATCCTGATCTAAAGGGGAAAATCAGCCAGGAATGCTTAAACAAATTCGTCGATACAGCTGAGAAGTGTTTGTCTGAAGTTGGATACGAGCGTCCCTCTATGGGAGATGTGTTGTGGAATCTTGAGTTTGCACTCCAATTAGTGGAAAGCCCTGATGGTGCATCAACTAGCGATAGAAGTTATGGTTCTGAGGAGGCTCTATTAAACAGAAACAATCGGAGTGTTGGGAGTGAGCGCGAAACTAATGAAGGATCTGAAGGCAGTAGTGTCATCTTCTCACAGATAGTAAATCCAACAGGGCGATGATAATGTTTTTATTATTGCTGATTGCTTTGCCATTCAGATGAACATGAATGATTATGGAGGATCAAGGCCATGGAACTCTAGATCTCTAGCGTTTTCAATCAGTTAAAATTCTTTCTGTTCTAAGAAAGGGTAATGCTTTTAATGTTTTTATTGTTCCTTTTTTTTTTTTTTTTTTTTGTCTAGTATAAATCTATAGCGACTTCTGTATGTTCTGTAACAGGAGTTCAGAAAGAGAATCAAGTTTAAGTCCACCTGCCTTTATATGCCTTTTAAGATATATTGCCAGTATCTTTATATGCTATATCAATGTATATGTATGTGCACAGAAAGAACTTGGAGAACTTTTTTGTTAAGTATGATTGAATTTTTGAGAATATACATTTCTTTGCGATTTCATTGTTCGATTACATGCTCAGATAATCGATCCTGTAATTGTATTCTGACTAAAATTCTGAATCAGTTATAGAGTAGATTTCCAATGTCCCTGAATTCAAATGGGTATGAATCCACGATGGCAATGGAATTACTATAACTTAATTTCAGATTTCCTGCAACAAATTCTTCTTTGTCCTTCCTGGTTTCAATTATCAATATTCAAGATGTGCTTCACCCTGTAAGTTAATGAAAGCTACTGCGTGAGCATGGTTTGGTCAGCTCAAAATCATGCAGCTAAAAACTTCTAGTTCAGAAGATTCAACATCTGACATTTGTCTCTTCGAAGACATCCGATAAAATTGGAACATCTGACATTGATCAAGTGTGAACTATCTTGGTAGCAATAAGAACCCTTATATGAGCTTTTACTTAAACAAATAAAGACTTGTAATTGATAGTTATAAATAGGAATATAATAGACAAATACATCGTAACCATAAATAAGTAAATATACTCATTGTGTTATGAGATCCTTAAAAATTCAGGGAATTTCTAATCATGAGAGGATTTTGATTCCTTTGGTAAAATGAAAAGCCACAGCAAACAGAAATTTGCCCCATGAAGTAAATCTAATTAATTGGTTCCACCTGTTGAGATATTGTGGCTCGTTTTTCTATTTGTTCCTAATTCTTATGTAAAACTATGTGTCTAAGAAAATTATTTAATAAAGAATACAATTGTAAATAAGAATAGAACTTAGGAGTCTTATTAGGAATTGAAATAAGAATCCTATTAGAAATAAAATATCTCATATACTAGCTAACCAATTCAAGGTTATGAGAGAATGTGAGAATACAGGGTATTTGATGTAAATGTTATTAAACACCATGGAGAGAGTGTCTTAGAAACTAGGATTGTTTCCACTTTGTTAATTGTGCCAGGTTTATGGTGTTGTGTACTCTTTGTTGAAATATTGACTTATTAGCAATCCATAAGGAATAGGAATTTAGCAAACCCACTCCTAGTGAAATAAGAATGGGATAATTTGTAATCCTACATCAAATAGGAATGTAAATGGGATTAGGATTTTGGGCCTATATAAAGGAGGCCAAGTTCTATTGTTGTTCATCCCAAAAATCAGTTTCTCTTATACTCCTATTGTAAAGGGTTCTTACCCTATAGTTTATAGTTTTTTCTATATTCCCTTTGTTTTGGGTATTTGTAGTAGCCCAAAAGGTTGTAATATTCTTTAAGAATAGTGAAGTTTTTCTACAGCGCCCGAGGACGTAGGTAATAATAACGAACCTCGTTAAATTCTTGTTGTTCTTTATTTTTGCATTCATTGTGGCAATTTTTTTCTTCTCTAGTAGTGTTATTGTTATATTTCAATAGCTAGCATTAGAGTTTGTGTTTCTGCTACACAACAAGTGGTATCAAAGCCAAGGTTTAGGACAGTCAGTAGCTATTTATATGGTTATATGCATGTCTAGGAAAATTTTGTCAACAAGACAATAAGTGTCTAAAGAGGCTAGGTTTTAAGTGGGACCGTTTGTGACCCCTCCAATTTCCTGAGAATTTTTCTGGTGCAAATTGAATCATTTTAAGCACTTACTATTATATGGGATATTGTTAATTTTTTTTGTTAGCTATTGAATATAGTAATTTGTGGAGCTTGGTTATTGTGGAAGTTTGTCTACCAAGTCAATTGAGCAAGACACAAATGGCATCATCGTCTACATCAGCAAAAACAATGATAGTTACAAATGCAAAAATTGAAATTGAAAAAAGTGATGATCAAAATAACTTTGGCCTAGGCAGTGTGAGGTAATGGATAGCTTCTGTCAACAAGACTAGACATAGTTCTAGAGGAGAAAAAACCAGAAAATATCGATGAGAAAGACTGGGTGAGGTTGAATGTAAAAGCTTGTGGAATGATTTGCTCATATCTTTGTAGAGAGCAGAAGTATCCATTCATGAAAGAGAAGTGTGCCAATAAGTTATAGAAAGCGTTGGAAAACAAATAAATGAAGAAAAGTGATGAGAATCGACTCTATTTGATAAAAAGTTTGTTTCATCTTCAGTTGCAACCAGGTGCAAGTATCAGTAGCCACATTGATGCATTTAACAAACTGATTGCTTATTTGTTAAATTTGGATGAAACATTCAAAGATGAACATAAAGCCATAAAGCTGATTGGTTCTCTTCCGAATGAGTTGGATCATCTTAGTATTACACTTCTTCATGGGAAAGAAAATCTATCATTTGAAGAAGTTTGCTCTACCTTGTCTAATCATGAAATTTGGAAGAAAGATCATAAGGAGAATAAAAATGAGTTATCAAAGGTACTTATAGCAATAGGGCGTAGTTAGAGTCATAAAAAGGAGAAAACGAGAAGATCTTATTCGAAGGGAAAGCTCAACAGGGATCAATGTGCCTTTTGTCATGAGAAGAGGCATTAGAAGAGAGATTGTCTGAAGTTGCAAAAGAAAGAGGGGAAATCTATTTCTGATGCATATGTTGCTGAGCTTGAAGAATATGAGTCAGATTTTTCTCTAGTTAGCCTATTGTCCACATCTGGGTCAAATAAGTGGATTATGGATTCAGGTTGTACCTATCATATATGTCCTAACCAAGAGTGGTTTTTTAATTTTGAAGAACATGATGGGATTGTTTATATGGGCAATGTTGATGCTTGCCAAACAACTAGGATAGGTTCAATTCATTTGAAGAATCATGATGGCTCAACTAAAATTCTGGAAGATGTTTGATAGGTACCAAAGTTGAAGAAGAATCTCATCTCTTTGGGAGCCTAGGAATATAAAGGTTGCATGGTGAATATGCGAGATGGAATTCTAAAGGTTTCTTCAAGCGCTCTTGTGGTAATGAAAGGTACAAAGAGAAACAACTTGTATTATTATAATGGTAATAGGGTTATTGGAACAACAACTACAGTCACATAGAAGGATGCAAATTCAAAAATGCTCAGGCTATGGCATATGCATTTGGGGCATGTGAGTGAAAAAGCCTTACTTAGTTTGGTGAATCAATGATTATTGAAAGGTGCAAAGACTTGTGAGCACTGTGTTATGGGAAAACAAAAAAGAGTGAAGTTCGGCATCGCAATCCATAATACTAAAGGTATTCTGAATCATGTTCATTCTGATGCGTGGGGACCTACCAAAATAGCCGCTTTTGGAGGTATGCACTAATTCGTCACTTTTGTAGATGATTTTTCTAGAAGAGTGTGGGTGTATTTTATGAAGACTAAAGATGATGTACTTAGGGTTTTCATTAAATGGAAAAAGATGATTGAGACTCAGACTGGCAGAAAGATCAAGCAGCTATGAACAGTAAAAAATACACCACAACAGAATGGGGTGGTAGAACGCATGAATCGAACTATACTCGAGAAAGTTTGATGTATGTTATCTAATGCAGGGTTAGGCAAGGAATTTTGGGCTAAGGTAGTTACTTACGCACGCCATCTCATTAATCGTTTACCATCGACTGCAATTGAGGGAAAAATTCCATTAAAGGTTTGGTCTAGAAAAAATATTTTTGATTATGATTCTTTTACATGTTTTTGGTTCCAATGCTTATTATCATGTGAAAGAGTCCAAGTTAGATCCAAGAGCAAAGAAAGCAATATTCATGGGGATTATCTCAGGTGTGAAAGGATACCCTCTTTGGTGTCCAAGTTCAAAGAAAATACTATTTATCAAGGATGTGACATTTGATAAGTCATCTATGTTAGAGAAGAAAATAGGAAACCAAATAAATGTTAATAGTACTCTAGAGCAGGTGGAGCACACTCAGCAGAAGGTGGAGTTGAAATAACATCTGTTAGCCCAGCTAGAAATGTTGACACTCTTATGATAGATGAGGTCATTGAAAATGAAAAGGAGATTTTATCCCAAGAATCTCTAGAGCAATCAGAATCGATTGCTTATAATAGGCCAAGACGAGAAATTTGAAAGCCTGCTCGTTTTGTTGATATGGTGGCCTATGCACTTCCAATCTTAGGTAATGATATTCCTACCAATTTTAAAAAAGCGGTGAGGAGTTCAAATTGTGAATCATGGAGGCAAGCCATCAACAATGAAATTCAATCCCTACATAAGACGATTGGGTGCAAATGGGTATATGCAAAGAAGGAGGAATTTCTTAACAAATAAGATGTTCGATACAAGGCCAGGTTGGTAGCGAAGGGATATGCTCAGAATGAAGAAATTGATGAAGTATAGTCTCTAGTAATGACACATTCTTCCATTTGGATTTTGTTGGCCTTGGTAGCGTATATGGATCTTGAATTAGTTCAACTTGATGTGAAAATCGTGTTTCTACACAGTGATTTGGAAGAGGAAATCTACATGTCTAAACCAGATAGTTATAAAGTTGCTAGAAAGGAAAATTGGGTTTGCAAATTGGAGAAATCGCTATTAAAGAAGTCGCTAAGACAGTGGCACAAGCGATTTGATAGGTTCATGATGGGGTAAAAGTACAAAAGAAATCATATTGATCATTGGTATACAATGGTGTGTACTAGGCCCGACATTTCACATGCAGTTAGAATTGTGAGCAGGTATTTGCATGATCCTGGTAAAGGATATTGGCACGCTGTGAAA